TTCATGGAGTATAACACTTTTTGTGAAGTATAACAGTTTTCATGTCAATTTTTCCCCATTATTACAATTTAGAAATAATAAGATTTTTTAATATAACACTTTTAAAATGTTCTATGGAGTATAACAGTTTCAGAGTATATAACAGTTTTTTCGTAGAATTAACAATATTCAGAAATGAGTATAATACTTTGATAATTATTTTCTAAAGAGTATAACACTTTCCGAGACATTTTCCGTAGTGTATAACACTTTTTGTAAAGTATAACACCTTTCGGAAAGTTTTTTTCCAGTTTATTACAATTTACAAATAATATGTTTTTGATTATAACACTTTTGGAATATTTTTATAGAGTATAACACATTCGGAATTTTTTTATAAGGCAGTTTCAGAATGTTTTATGAAGATGATTTATAGAGGTTTTCACTAATATCTACAACAATATTCTCTATAAAAATTTTGATGCCCCCACAGGCCTTAGGAAAATATAGTTTACAAATCTAGACGCGCCCAGGCCGCCACATAATATTTTTTAAAAACATTTAGAGCGCATGTGTGCTTGGGTTTGTATGATGTGGTTTTAAAGTCCTATTTTTAATTAATATTCTTAAGTCACGCGTGCTCTCTCGCGAAAATAAATAACAGCATTCTCTCATGCACATTCAATTGAAACAATTGAAAACCCATTGACACACATACACATCGACAACACAAATTTATTATTCTCTGCCCGAGCTTGTTCTAAAGAAAATAACTGTCCTTTGATATATGACTCTAATATTTCTACACTCTCCAAATCACACACTCTCTCTCTCTCTCTTTCTCACCACATCACTGTCACATAACTGCATTTGATTGTGCAGTCAACTTTCTAATGAATACAAGAGTAACTTCATTTAAGACATTTATATTTCCATACTCTCCCACACCTCTTCTCTCTCACTCTCTATCCCTTTCACTCTCTTATCAGTCACTATATCATATCACTGATATACATAGTTTTTCTCTCTGCTTGCAATTCTTTTTACATTTTTTGTTGCAATGAAAGACCTTCGTTGCAATTATTGACCCATTTCATGTCAATTTAATTCATCCTTGTAATATTTTTCTTTTTTTTTTGTCTTCGTTTATCCACTTGGCCCCATCAGACAGCAGAGACAAATAACAACGACAGCAACAACAACATAAAGCATGAACACGCAAAAAAGAATTACAATACAAAAAATCACTTGACATAACAAACAAACACCGGAAAATACAAAAACAACAACGACGATGGCAGTGGATGTGATGATGATATATCATCCAACCGTGTCATGTTTTGTGCAACCAGGTCATTATTGTCAAATGTAACCATAATCATTGTCAGCATCATCAACATCATCCTCAGCATACAAATCAGTGGCAAACCAGACCATGATTCTCTAAAGCACCCATTTCCCAACCTCCTCTTTCTATTGTCGCATATCAGATTGCACTTTTTTCGATGCATTTTTTTTCTATTTTTCCATTTTTATTTATTATATTTTTTGATCTATTTTTTGGATTACAATGCAACCTGCATGGCTGCCTAGTTTCTAGTTCTGATAGCTGTCGTTGTTGTTGTTCCAACAACCACCCAAAGCAACTGAACTACTCAAATATGTAAATAAATAAATAATTTGCATGCATTTAATTAGAAAATTGCGTAGCATTCATTCAACCTCTTACCCGCCGCAAGCCAGCATGTTAGTGTTCGGAAACCCCCTTGAGCTTAGACCCATTATGTTTTTTGGGGCCACAGTTCCCCCACCAATGCTTTTTGAGGTTTTTGTGTCAAAAACAAAAGGCAATTGAGGGGATTTTTGCGGAGGGGGATTTTTTTATAGATGCAGAACGGATGATAACGACTTCGAAAGCTTGATACTCTGTAATACGCGACTCCGAAAATAAAAAAAGTGGAGAGTACTCCGAATGTAATTTACTCTTTAGGAGATTACTCCAAATCGCATTCATTCCTTCGCAGATAAAATAAAAAATATAATTGTACTCCGAATATTTCCGAATGTAATAAATCTTTGCGAGATAACTCCGAATGATATATATACTCTTTCCAAAATGGCTCCGAATGTGATATACTCCTTTGTAATATAATCTTTAGTAGATGACTCCGAAGGATATCTACAACTTCGGAGATGATCCCGAAGGACATCTAATCCTTCGGAGATGACTCCGAATCACATCTCTTGCTTTGGAGATAACTCCGAAGGACATTTACTCATCCGGGGATGACTCCGAATAGCATCTACTCCCTCGGAGATGACTCCGAAAATAAAATAAAATATATAACTTTACTCCGAATGTTTCCGAATGTAATATACTTTTTAGGAGATTACTCCGAGTGATGTATAATCCTTCCGAAATGACTCCTAATGTTTCCGAATGTAATATAATCTTTAGAAGATGACTCCGAAGGACATCTATACCATCGGAGATGACTCCGAATGATGTATACTCCTTCCGAAATGACTCCGAATATTTCCGAATGTAATATAATCTTTAGTAGATGACTCCGAAAAATATCTACTTCATTGGAGACGACTCCGAAGGACATTTGCTCCTTCGGGGATGACTCCGAAAATAAAATAAAAGTGTGCTTCGAATGTTTCCGTAGTAATATACTATTTGCCAAATGACTCCGAATGATATATACTCCTTCCAAAATCACTCCGAATGTTTCCTAATATAATATACTCTTTAGAAGATGACTCCGAATCACATCTACTTCTTTGGAGATGACTCCGAATCACATCTAATGATTCTCAGGACGTAGACATAAACGTCCTCGGAGATGACTCTGAAAATAAAATACGAATTTTAAGTGCTCTTCGAATGCTTCCAAATGTAATATACTATTTGCGAGATGACTCCGAACGATATATACTCCATCGGAGATGACTCCGAAGGACATCTACTCATTCGGAGACAGCTGAAATAACCCCGAACGATATATACCCCTTCCGAATGTGAAATGCTCTTTAGAAAATGACTCCGATCACATCTATTTATTTAGAGATGACTCCGCAAGCCATTTACTCCTCATAAGATGTCTCCGAATGGTATCTACTACTTAAGACATGACTCCGAATGCCATCTTCTCATATGAAGATGACTCCGAAAGTCATATACTCATTCGGAGATCACTCCTAAGGTCATTACTATTTCGGAGTTGATTTCTTAAGCCGTCTACCCCTTAGGAGATGACTTCGAATGCCATCTTTTCCTATGAAGATGACTCCGAAAGTCATATACCCTTTCGGAGATCACTACTAAGGTCATCTTCTATTTCTGAGTTGATTCCTAAATTCATCGACTCCTTAGGAGATGACTGCGAAAATCATCTAAAAGCCGGATAAGGCTCTTAAAGCCATCTACCCCTTCGGAGATAGCCCAAAAGTCATATTATTCTTAGAAAATTACTCCGAATGTGTTCTAATTTTTCGGATATAACTCGGAATGACTTCTAGTCCTTCAGAAACGACTTATAATGCATTATATTATGTCGGATATGACTATAAATGTTTCCAAACGACATCTAATATTTGGAAGATGGCTCCGAATGACTTATACTGCTGGGGAGATCACTCCTAATTTCTTTGACTCATTAGAAGATGCCTCCTAATGTCATCAATTACTTAGAATATGACTTCGAATGTGTTCTATTCTTTCACAGTTGACTCGGAATGTGTTCTACTCTTTCGAAAATGACTTCGAATGTGTTCTACCCGTTCGTAGATGACTCCAAAAAGTCTCGGAGATTATTCCGAATGCCTCCTCCTACTCCTGTGGAGATGACTCCTATTGCCTTCAGAGATGACTCCGAATTTCATCTACTTCTTCGGTCCTGATTCCGAATGGCTCCGAATCACATATACTCTTCAGAGATGACTCCGAATGCTTCGAAGATGACCTCGAATGCTTCGAAGATGACTCCGAATGCTTCAAAAATGAATCCAAATGATATTTACTGCTTCGGAGTTGACTCCGAATTTCTGCAAATGTTAATTACTCCATAGGAGATAACTCCGAATGCCACACACCTCTTTTAAATGACTCCAAATTCATTCGGAAATGACTCCGAATGTATATTAATGCTTCGTTGCTATTCCCAGATGATTTTCCTCCCTAGGATCTTGCTCCGAATAGTTCGGATTTGAAACAAAATGCCATTTAATCATTCGAAAACGATTCAGAATGCAATCAGCTTCTTCGGAACATAATAGTCATTTCCATATTCGGAGATGACATAGGATATGACTCCAACGACTTCGAATATGACGCTACTTCATTGTAGGAGACTTCGAATGGCACCAACTCCAAAGCAGATGACTCCCTAAGTCAATTTTCTCCATTTTAGTTGACTCAGAATAAATCCGAACTTCAAAATAGTGATCAATTTTCATTAGTAAATGACTTCGAAATTTCTTATACCACTTCGAATTCCATTTTTTAATTAAATATGTAAATTGTTCAAGCTTTAAACGTTCCTTATTTGTAATGTAATTTTAATTTGCCTTTAGTCCACCCTTTTCAGCCCATATCCCAGCAACAACCTCCTGGATATATTTTAATATAAACAAAATACATTATTATTCGTAGTTCGTATTCATATTCCTTGCGGGCTCTCCACCCCGGGAGCATTAATTTACTACAAATAATTATTTTGTTGTTGTTTTTATTTCGTAAATTTGCATGCAAGCCAATGTTTTTTTTTAATTGCATATCATTTTCAGTGTGTTTGTATGTATGTGTGTGTTTCTTAATTTATTCAATTTTTAATATTGTAATTAGCAGTAGAGCGCACTACAAATCAGCTACTTTTTCTGTTTGTTTTTTTTTTCTTTTTTTGTGTTAAACACTTTGGCCTATTTATATGGTGTCCTGACGATATTCAACAGTCGTGTAATTACCGAAACAAAAACAATTGTTTAACCATTTTATTTCCCCTCCTCTCTTCACACAGCCTCCCCTGTATATTATCACACCTACTTATCGCCGTCCAGAACAATTGGCCGAATTAACCCGATTGGGTTATACGTTGAAACATGTTGCCAACTTGTTGTGGCTGGTCATTGAGGATGCCAACAAAACATCCGAAATGGTGATAGAGACCTTGAATCGTATTGGTGTGCCTTATGAGTATTTTTTGGGTGAGTTCCCAGGCCAGAAAGTAACCTGATTTAAATTTTAATTTTGATTTTTCTGTTTAATTTCAGCTCCCATGCCCGAAGAATACAAAAGTAAAAAGGCCAAGCCAAGAGGTGTCTCCAATCGTAATCGTGGCCTCAGCTGGCTGAGAGAAAATGCCAACGAGGGTGTTTTCTATTTTGCCGATGATGATAATACCTATGATATTAGCATATTTGAACAGGTGAGAGGGGTGTTTGCGGAACTTTTATTTAAAAAGATATATTTTAATAATTATTTTTCATTATAGATGCGCTATACCAAAAAGGTTTCAATGTGGCCGGTGGGCCTCGTTACAAAATATGGCGTCAGCAGTCCCATTGTCAAGAATGGCAAAATTATTGGCTTCTATGATGGCTGGCTGGGCGGTCGTAAATATCCCGTTGATATGGCCGGTTTTGCTGTGAGTGTACGATTTCTGCATGAAAGGCCGAAGGCGAAAATGCCCTTTAAGGCGGGCTATGAAGAAGATGGTTTTCTGAAAAGTCTAGGGCCATTAGATAATGCAGAAATTGAGCTGCTGGCCAATAATTGTACAGAGGTAAGATTGGGCGTATGAGTGTTGACAGCATGTATACGCCTAGGAGGCAAAAATTGCATTTTCAATTTTGTGGGGTAGATTTCATATAGAAATATGGAAATTAGAGAATTCTTGTATTCGGTTACCCATAGTGAAATTTGATGTAGAATATTTGTTCCCTTTGTGTCATCCCACTACAATCAATAATAAGGGGAGATATGGCTCCGTTCTGAAAACCTCTAAAATTCATGAATAATTTTCTTATTGGTATTTTCAACATTTGGAGTGAATTTTCACACACATATATCGCGAATACGATTTTCTTCTATTCTGTGACTCATAGTGAAATTTGATGTAGAATATTTCTTCCCTTCATATATCTAAACTTCCAAGGGGAGATTTTCTAAAGAAACATTCAAAAATTAAAAGAAATTGGCTTTAAAATTTTGGTACTTCAAATTTTGGCTTAAAATTCGATGTAGAATAACATTCAAAAATAACCTAAAAGTCTAAAATTCATTAATTTTCTTATGTATACAAATATATATATCGCGAATACGAATGTTCGGCGACATGAAATTTTGTGATTAAATTTTCCTATATAAATATTGCAAATTCAGATTCTATTTGTTCGGCAACCCATAGTGAAATTCGATGTAGAATATGTGTTCCCTTTATACCAACCTCCTACGGTGAATTTTAATGGGAGATGTTGCCTTTGTCCTGAAAGGTTCGAAAATAACCCAAAAAATCTCTAAAACATTTCCATACATGAATTTCCAATTTTTGGCGGGGTATTTCACATATATCTATTAATTTTACAGGCTTCAGTTGTTCGGTGACCCATAGTGAAATTTTGTGTAGAATATTTTACCTTTATACCACTACTCTAAAGTCTACCATAATGGGATATATTGGCTTATCTCTAAAACGGTCGAAAATCCCCTAAAAGTCGCATTTTTATATACCTAATTTTGAACTGAAATTTCGTATATAAATATTATATATACCGATTTCTTTTGTTCAGTGACCCATAGTGAAATTTGATGTAGAATATTTCTTCCCTTTATACTATTACCCTAACCCACAATTGGAGATTTTGGCTTAATTCCGAATTACGCAAAATTCCCTCAAAAAATAATAATTTTCTTATTTTTTGTTCTTATTTGAGGGTTTAATTTCATATATAAATATTATATATACCGATTTCTTTTGTGTGGTGACCCATATCGAAATTTTATGTAGATTATTTCCTCCTTTGATATCATCCCGCCAAAGTGAGTCACAGTGGAAGATTTTGGCTTAAATCGGAAATATACAAAATTTTCTCAAAATAAAATTTTAATTTTCTTATTTATTTGCCCTGATTTGCGGGTTCAATTTCATATATAAATATTATATATACCGATTTCTTTTGTTCGGTGACCCATAGTGAAATTTGATGTATAATATTTCCACCTTCAATTGCAACCCCCTAACTTGGACTCCAATAAGAGATTTTGACTTAATTCCAAAATACGTGAAATTCCCTCAAAAAAATAATAATTTTCTTATTTTTTGTCTTATCTGAGGGTTTAATTTCATACATATATATTATATATACCGATTTCTTTTGCTCGGTGACCCATAGTGAAATTTGATGTAGAATATTTCCTCCTTTGATATCATCCCGCCAAAGTAAACCACAGTGGGAGATTTTGTCTTAAATCGGAAATATACAAAATTTTCTCAAAAGAAAATTAATAATTTTCATATTTATTTACCCTGAGTTGAGGGTTCAATTTCATCTACAAGTATTATATATATCGATTTCTTTTGTTCGGTGACCCATAGTGAAATTTGATGTAGAATTTTTCTTTCTTTGATATCATCCCGCCAAATGAGATCGCAGTGGGAGTTTTTGGCTTAAATCGGAAATGTATAAAATGTCTTCATAGTTTTTTTTTTCTTATTTATATTTGCAAAATTTCGAATGAAATCTAATATATAAATATTATATATACCGATTTCTTTTGTTCGGTGTCCCATAGTGAAATTCGATGTAGAATATTTCCTCCCTTAATATCACCCACCTAAAGTGAATTCCAAGGGAGATTTTGCCTTAATTACAAAATGTATTTTCTTATTCGCATATATCCATTTTTTTAATTATTTATTTTTCTCACTCCCTCTCTCTCTCTCTTTCTCTTTCCCCCCAAACGCAGATCCTAACATGGCACACGCAAACGAAAAAGAATAATCCTGCAGAAAAATTAAACATGACCAAATATGGTGATACCAATTTAGTGTTAATAGATAAGGCCCTGGTAAGACCCTAAGGTAGTAGTAATATACAACAGATATTCAATATAATTATATGAAAATTGTGTAGCAAAGACAACAACCAAAGATAAGATGTTTTTTATATAAGAAAAAAAAATCGAAAAAGAAATAGAACCAAAAATATATACTAAAATAATAATTAATAAAAATAGTACTGTATATAAAACTCAAAACCCAAAGCAAGAAAAGACAGTCGTCGCAAACACACACAAAACGGCACAAAGTGTAAAGCTTTATTTAACAAAAGAAAAATAAATTCCTCAAGTAAAAATATTGTGTATGTAAATATTATTAATATTTTTTATATATAAAAAAATAAAAATTATTTATACTATGTGAAAATATGTATTAATATAAAAAAAACATTTTTTTGTAATTGTAAATATATAAATATTTGAAAAATAAATAAAAAAATATAAATATTTAAAAAATTAATTTCGAATAAATTATATAAAAAAGATGACTAATGAAAAAATAACTATTAGTTAGACAGGTCAGGTATTATTAAACAAAATTAAAAATTAAAATAATTTAATAGAATTTAAAAAGCAAAAATTTAAAAATAATATAAAAAATCGACAACATAAAAACAATCATTTTTGTAACAAATAAATAAAAGGAAATTATAAAAAAACTCGAATAAAAAAATTATGAAAAAATACAACATTACAAATATATAAAAAATACAAGTAAATTTTTTTAATAAAAAAATATTATTTTATATTAATAAATAAATTTTGAAATTTGTCCTTATTATAAAATTCTTTGGTTGACATCTTTTTTAATTTTTTAATGTATATTCTTAATTTGTTATAAACATTTAAGTGTATTTTTTTTAATTTTAATTTTTTTTTTTATTTTTTTATTATTATTTTTATTATTTAGTTCCTAAAAACAATTTCGTTATATTTTTAAATATTTAATATTTTTGAATTAAAAATGAAAAGAATGTTCGAATTTTTGTACTTGCATGAAAATTTTGTGAGTGAAATTTTCTGTATAAATATTGCATATACAGATGTCTCGTGTTCGGTGACCCATAGTGAAATTCGATGTCGAATATTGGTCCCATTTATGCCGCTCCCCTAAAGTGAGCCCAAATGGGGGTATTGGCTTAGTTCTGAAGGGAACGAAAATTACCTGAATGTCACACTTTTTTATTTATATGCCTAATATTGTGATTGAGTTTGCCTATATAAATATTGCATATACAGATGTCTCGTGTTCGGTGACTCATATTGAAATTCGATGTAGAATATTTGTTCCTATTATACCGCTCCCCTAAAGTGAACCCAAATGGGGGATATTGGCTTAGTTCTGAAGGGAACGAAAATTAGCTGAAAGTCATACTTTTTTATTTATATATCAAAATTGTGATTGAGTTTGCATATATAAATATTGCATATACAGATTTCTCGTGTTCAGCGACCCATAATAAAAATCGATGTAGAATATTTTTACCCTTTATACCGCTCCCCTAAAGTGAACCGCAATGGGAGATATTGGCTTAATTCTGAAACGTTGGAATAACCAAAAAAAGTCGCATATTTTTTTATTTGCATATCAAATTTTGTTGGAGCATTTACATACATACCTATTGCATATGCAGATGTCTCGTGTTTGCCTACCCATAGTGAAATTCGATGCAGAATATTTGTTGCCATTATACCTCTTTCCTAAAGTAAACCCCAATGGGAGATATTGGCTTAATTGTGAAACCATGGGAAATTACCTAAAAGTCGCATTTTTAATTTATATACCTAATATTGTGATTGAGTTTGCATACATAAATATTGCATATACCGATTTATCGTGTTCGGGAATCCATATTGGAATTCGATCTAGAATATTTGTTTCCTTTATACCATCCTTCTAAAGTGATATATAAGGGAAGATGTACCCCTTATACTGAAAATGATGAAAAAAATTGCTTATATTTTTTATTATTTGAATACCAAATTTTTCGGTTGAAATTTTACACATATATATCAATTTGAAAAATTTCTTGTGTTCGGCTACCCATAGTGAAATTCGATGTAGAATATTTGTTCCCTTTATACCACTCTTCTAAAGTGATTACTAAGGGAAGATTAAGTCTTTATACTGAAAGGTTCGAAAAAAAAAAAATAATAAAAAAAAATATAATAATGTTTTTATTGAAATCCCTAATTTTGAGGTCATATTTCACACATATATATTAATTTGACAGATTTCTTGTGTTCGACGGCCCATAACGAAATTTTGTCTAGAATATTTTTTCCCTTTATACCATCCTCCTAAAGTGATTTATAAGGTAAGATTTAGTCCTAATACTGAAAGGTTCGAAAATAATGGAAACATCTTTTTTATTTGAATACCTAGTTTTTCGGGTGCAGTTATAGACATATATTTGACAGACAGTTATAGATATATATTATACAATTTGACAGATTTCTTGTGTTCGGCGACACATAGTGAAATTCGATATAGAATATTTGGTCCCTTTATAACAACCTGCTAAAGTGATATATAAGGGTAGATTTAGCCCCTATACTGAAACGTTCGAAAATAATGATAAAATAACTAATAATGTTTTTATTTGAATCCCTAATTTTCGAAGTGATATTTTATACATATATATTAATTTGACAGATTTCTTGTTTTCGGTCACTCATATTGAAATTCGATGTAGAATATTTGTTCCCTTTATAACGACCCTCCAAAGTCATTCCCAAGGTGAAATTTCGGTCTATTCTCAATGTTTGTATAAAAGCAATCCCGAAAAAAATTAATTATTTTTTTTAATTAATTTTGTTTAATTTAAATTTATTTAATAATATATTGAGTAGGCAATATATTAATGTTCTCATGACAAATATTTTTTTTAATTTCGTATTATTTTTAATAGAATTTAAATTTTAATTAAATTTAAATAACAATTTTTTTAAATAATTCAATGAAACCCCTAAAAATATGCAATACTTTCACATTTATTTTTTACAATTTTTATATAAAACTATGAAGCTTTTCAATTTTTTTTTTGTTTAATTTTTATGAAATAGTTTATATAAAAAAATTCAAAACACAAAAATCATATCAATTTGTTTTGCAAAAATAAAAATTCCTAGAAATAAAAATAAAATAAACGAACGCATAATTTTTGTTTTCAAACTGAAATTGTGATAGATATCTTGTGTTTACATATTTCAGGTTAATGACTAAATATTATATATAATATATAAATATATTATATATAAATATTATTTTTTTTTTTATTAAACCAAAAAAGAAATCCGAAAAATAAAAATATAAATTTATAAAAAAAATGTTATATTTATTAATTTTAATTTAAAATAGAGTGCTCAAATTGTGAAGTCTAATATAATTATTTTTTATATAAAAATCATTACTATTAAATATTATTTTTTGTTTTTTTATGTTGTACTTAAGACATTATTAAAAAATAAGTTTATTATAAAATTTTTATTGAAATAAATTAAAAAGAAAACTATTAATTTTAATCTATTATTTAATTTTCAACTATATGTAAATGTATCTGATTTAAGTCTGAATTATAATAAAAAAAAAAAACAACTACATTTTTTTAATACCAAAAACTAAATAATATTGTGAATAAATAAAGAGAAACAAAATATCTAATAAAAATTTTTCAACAAAAATGTATAACATTAATAACAAAAAAATAATAATAATAAAAATTTAAAAATAAAAAAATAAAAATTTATCAAAAAACATAAATAATATTAAAAATACAACAAACAAAACTTCCTAAATAAAAATAATTTTTTTGAAAAAAATATCTACAACATGGTTTTAATAATGAAGAAAATATATTTTTTTTTTTAATTCTGGGCCATCTGATATAAACATAGAGACATTTGTGTGTATGAGTGATGACAACATGTATACGCCTATGAGGTAACAACATTATTTGTCAATAATGTGGAAGAATTTTCATACATAAATATTAGAAGTTCAGATTCCGTTTGTTTGGTGATCCATAGTGAAATTTTGTGTAGAATATTTGTTCCATTTATAACTCTCCCCTAAAGTGAATTTCAAGGGGAGATTTGGGCTTTATTTGAAAATAACCCATAAAATTGGTTAAAATTTTGTTTAGTGTTATAGCCATTTTTGCGAATGAAATTTCATACAAAACATTGCCAGATGCAGATTTCTTCTAGTCTGCGCCCTATATCGAAATTTGATCAAGAATTTATCCTACTTTATACATCCTCTCTAAAGAGGTGCACTCATGTGTATTAGTGATGACAACATGTATACGCCTATGAGGCAAAACATTATTTGTCAATAATGTGGGAGGAATTTTCATACATAAATATTAGAAATTCAGATTCCGTTTGTTTGGTAACCCATAGTGAAATTTTGTGTAGAATATTTGTTCCTTTAATACCACGCCCCTAAAGTGATTTTCAAGGGGAGTTCTGGGCTTTATTTGAAAATAACCCACAAAATTGGTTAAACATTTTCTTTACAGATATAGGCAATATTGTGAATGAAATTTCATATATAAAAATTCCAGATACAGATTTCTTCTGGTCGATGACCTATAGTGAAATTTGATGGAGAATCTTACCTTCTTTACTACCTCCTCTCTAAATTGAACCTCAATGGTAGATATTGGCTTAATTCGGAAACGTTCGAAAATAACCAAAAACGTCTCACATTTTTTTTAATTGCATATCAAATTTTGTGAGAGCATTTCTATTAATAGATATTGCATATACATATACCTCGTGTTCGGTGACCCATACTGAAATTTGGTGTAGAATATTTTTATACCACCCTCCTAAAGTGATTTATAGGGGAAGATTTAGCCCTGGTACTGAAGCGTTTGAAAATAATGAAAAAATCTCTAATATATATATATATATATATTTTTTTTTTTGAATACCTAATTTTGGAGATGAAATTTGATTCAAACCAACTCCCTGAAATAATTGAATCTCCAATTGGTCTCAATCTGAACGGTTTT